ACGAGAGCTATATGTCCTGCGCATAACACATATAAATACGCGATTATTAGACGGAATGTATACAGCATTTACCTTGGACGGCTTGAATTCAAATGTAACTGTCTACAGAATTTAAAATCATCTGACAACTTAAAAAAATTGTGTAACTTAAAGAAACCTTCCTTAAGATTAAAAACATAAAGGAAGCATAAGCCGTTACAAAACGCCTATAAAAATAATATTTTTTTGCATGTTTTGTAGATCATATATGAATTTATAGGGGCCTAGATAATCAATGAGAAAAATGAATATCACTCAAGTAAACATTTTACACAATAGGATTTGTACCTGGTTTTCAGAAGAAAAGTCTTTGAAACGCCGGCATCTTTAGGCGACTTGACGGCATTGGGATGAGGCCGCACGGTATTAAATATAAAAACTTAAGTACTTTTTTTGAAATCGAAAACAAATTTCAGAATTTCCGTTGACATCCCATGAGATAGGGACTCCAGCATTAACTATTGCCCTTTACTGTGGCTTTCTGTGTATCCTCTCCCTTAAAGTTCCCTCCAAAAACGAAGACAATTTTGAATAGTAACTGTTTACCTGCGTGTCACCCAGATACTTAACTCCAGGGAGCAGTATATCTAGATTCTTAGTTATCATAGCAATGACCATGTAGCACTTTGCAACAGTTGTATCACAACTCCCTTCCAAAGCGATGCCAGACGTCAAAAAGTGTTGGAAATCCAACACCCAAAAAACCGACGTAGACTGAAATTCCCCATGCATAGAATCTACTATTCTAGCTGAAATAGGGGACAGCTAATTCAGAATGTCTTTTCCGGACAACAAGTTCTTTCAGTTTACCTCACGAGTGAGTTCATAGTAGTGAGAGTGGAATTTTCCTGTCATTTTCATCAGAAGTGTATTAATATGATAGAGCCGAAGGCCTGCATTGTTTTTTGCGGACGCATTTTCTTTGGAAGAACTAATGACATCAATTGAATCGTCTTCATTTGAATCAGCCAGCTTGTAG